AGACCATTCCCTTCAATGTCGCTTCTCTATTATCTAGGACTCTACTTCCACCTTAATTCTTCTCATTGTGACGAATACCTTACCGAGCGAAACGACGTAATTGAGTTGCACTTTCTCAGGCGGCGCGTCGGAAAATGCATCCCCACGGCCGGGTTCATTTGTGCGCCGCGTGTCGGTTAGATGGCGCGTCCTTTCGACGCGATTAAAATGGCCGAAAATTGATTTTTTACCGTGTTCGTCCCCCGATCACGATTCCCCTTTCTCATGCTCGCGGGGTCACAGGTATACTGTGTCACAGGTATCTCGCCAACGACGAGTGGACGAAGCGGCGACGGCGGACGTCGGCGGACGTTCGATCGGCCGATCGTGACAGTTCGCGGTAATTTCGCTTCGAATTTCGGCGAATACCGCGCGCGATCTTGACGTTCCGATCAGTGGCTCCAGTGCAGGCTCCAGCTGACTCCAGCTCCAGCTCCGCGTGGATCTCGCCCGTTGCCCGCCCTTCCCCGTTCTCGCGTACCCCGAGCGCCAAATGAGTACCCGGAGGAGTATGCGGAGCCAGCACAATTGCGTTCTGTGCGACTCGAAGCTCGACTCCAAGGAGGCATTGCAAGAACACTTTAGGTACACCTCGTCGTCAAGTCATAACCAAGTCGAGAGGTTCATGAGATTCACGGTCAGTCGGAGTCGGTCAATAATCGTGATTCCGCGACGTTGTCATTGTCGGCGATATTTTCCATGTGCGTGGACGAAGACCGATCCGAGGGGATGATTCGAATCGTCCAAAACATTGGACACGCGCGCATACATACGAGTTGTTGTTATGCCGGTATGAGGTAGTAGATTCCTTGGAGATGGGAAATTTGGCCTTAGAATCAATTTATTGCTTTATTATTCAATTTGTTGCGCAGGAGCAAATTTAGACTATTCGGCTCTCTGTGCTTTTCATTATTTTGAACTATTTTCTATGTGCAAATTTATTAGTCATTATCTGTATTTTAAGTAAGTTTTTCATCTTTTGTCATGTCTGACACAGGAAACATGCAAATAAGGAGATAGACATGCGTGGGCTGCCGATGAGGAGCAGAACCAAGGTAGACACTCAGTGCGACATATGTAATAAGTCGTTTGATTCGATACCAGCAACGATAAGGCACAGGTTTAAGGTACACTCCAATTCGTCGACCAAGTTCTATTGTTCCTATTGTGGAATGCAGTTTCCTTTAAAGGTAAACACTTTACAGCACTTCTTTTTGTCTTTTTGTCTTCTGCTTCTGTAATAATCTCACGAAAATTTTGGTCAGAATCACAGGGATAATCATCAGATGTCGCATGACGCGACTGAAAGCGAGAATAAAGATCTACATAGAAAATGCGAGGAGTGCAACGTGATATTCTACAACGAAAAGGCACTGAATTACCATCATCGTTCCTTTCATAAAAGGTAGCGTTTTATCGATCCATCTTTGAGAATACATATTTCTGAAATTATTATCTGACTGCCTGTACTGTTTTTTAGAATGGTATACATGTTCCAACCGATAGCCACTCCTCCGCCCAGCAACAAGATCAAATTGAACTCTATGAACGACGCGTTGAGCGTATATTATTGTCATTTGTGTGGCGTCGAGTACGTTGTAAAGTTCAACTTGCAACAGCACCTAGAGAAGATGCACACGGAAGTAAGAAAGATAAATATATTACAATATAGAGATATATTTTAAAAGTTGCCATTTGTTTTAAATGTAAGTGAAAATAAATGATAAAATACCATTAATTAAGGGGATCCTAAAGCCGTCTGTAATACCGGCTTTTTTTCTTAGCACTAATCTTTTAATTGACTTTATAGAAATGCAAAATTCTTGTCTAGAATTAAAGTACGCATCAAAATCTAGGTCATGGTGGTCAAATTTATATCGAAAACGAAAAAAAATTAATATTTTTGTTAATTTTTGGTATACGTGACGACAATATTTGCTTTGTACAAAAATTCCACGATAAATATCCACAAAATTAGACCGGCATGACCTAGGGACAACATTTAAGAACAATATCGTGCAATTAGATCTAAGATTGAAAACCTAGAAAAAAAGATTACTTTATATAACTTTTATATGTGCAAAAGCACATTCAGGTTGACAGGATAAGCAATATTGCGTGTGGCAAGAGATGGCGCAGTAATCGAACAAAGACAGTTGCCTCTCGTTAGACAAGGACAGATATAGATCCATCCATTTTTAAAAAAGGCGTGTTACCTGAGTGAATTTCGTTTGTATCGTAAAATTGAAGCCTCTTTTCCGCGATGCCGATTGGCTATCTCGATTGATTGCCGCGCCGAAGCTTGCTTCATCCCGTGACGGACTGTCATCGCGGAGTGTGGCGAGTTTCGTGCGTGTATTGCGTGGTGTGTGTCGTGATGTGACAGCTCGCGTCATGTCGCGATTATTATTAATAGCATAATGTTAAAGCTAAATGGCGCGCGCGAAGCGCGCGCGTCTGTAGTGTCTAGTATATGACAAGAAAACAGAATTAGAAATGTTGACATTACCGACGTCGAGGAAGTTCAGCCTTCACTTTAGGACCCCCTTAAAGAGTGTGACCGAGTAATTCTGACATAACTCTGTGCGTTTGTAAACTCAGGTATCTTTCTACAATGCACTGTTTCGCAGAAAGAAAGGGAGTCTATGCCGGAGGATTTGATCAAGTGTACGGTGTGCGCAGCCTTGTTTTGCAACAAGAAGGCTTACAACGTTCACAACAATTACCATCAGCCGGATGATTTATACGTAACTTCCGAGCAACAGAGAATGCAGACAGTGACCAAAATTGATCAGGACTTCGACATTAGGAGAGTGGAATCTACGGCTGAGAAATATATACCGCGATCTAATCTATTTAAGAGGACGATTAAGGAGAGGACAAAGGTAAACCATAGTTTCACACTTTTAATTCTTTTGCTTTTATATATATAAAATCTCTGTATGCAGAGCAAGTTATGACTTGAAATAATACAATATAAAATAAACACGAACTTACACAACTTAATATATGAATGCAACAAGATTTAAGTTAACATGATAAAATGTAAATTTAGCCGGACAAAATGCCGAAGACAGAAATTAAGATAGAGATAAAGAGAGAAAGGTCCATATCCTTGGATGATCCTGTGAGTACCATCGAGTCCAGTGATTCCGAAAGCGACGTCCCGTTGGAGCAAAGGATCGCCAGCTAACGGAGGTTTTTCTTTCCGATCACAAAAGATTATCCCTATCTCTGCCTTGAGGGAACTTTGTTATACGAGAGATTTACAAACTACTGCTGCAATCGTGATAGTTGTCAAATCTAATTTCTCTTTCTCTTTACAATTGTTATTATATATGCATATTATACAAGTTAAGGAGATGTGACATTGTAGAATGGCAGTTGTATATTCTTTTTTGTTTTTTATGGCACGGATTGCGTTCAAAAATTACAATTGTAATAACTGAATGTTATTGACTAATTATGAATGTGAAGTACTGGACGAAATTTTATAGTAGGAAGAGAGTAATTACGACAATTTGCTAATTAATTCTTGAATAATTGTGTAGATGTGTGTTTATGTATATTATACTAAATATATATACATAGACCACATATACAGGGTGTCTAATAAGTACCGTGTCACCTCGTGGACAGCTTTCAGTGTCACACGTGTCGTTCGTGTCGTTCACAGAGGCCTCCCAACGCCTCATCGCGCGCGTAGCAAAAAACTGGGCTGTTTTTTCTCGTCGAATCGCATGGACGCACACTGATGTGTGGATCTTTAATTGAGAAAACTTACAAAACGATAAAAGACTTTTATTCAGTTTAACGCACTCTACCCACGAAAGGTAGCAGGTGACACGGTAATTACCAGACACCCTGTGTATTATAGATACATTATACATATTTATATACTGCGTTTGATGAAAGATATCTTCTGAGCATGATTGGTTATATTTTTTTATTTTTTTATTACGGTGTGCATGTTTAATGCGCGATACGAACACGTTTTATTTGCTGTTTTCCTCGTCCTTTTCACGCAATTTGTATCAAATTTTTATGTACAAATATATATATATATATACATATACGTATAGATCCAGAAATTGAGAGTAGCAGTATCGCTTTCGATTCCCGTTGCGTGATCCGACTTAAAAGGCCGATATCACAGTTTTTGATTAACGCGATCCTCCGATTAAACTCACTCTGCATTTCTTTCTAACTGTCCCCCTAGAAAGAGACGAAGAGTGAGTTTAATCGGAGGATCACAATCGGAGACTTGGGCCGATATCACAGTCTTCGATTAACGTGATCCTCCGATTAAACTCACTCTTCGTCTCTTTCTAGGGGGACAGTTAGAAAGAGATGCAGAGTGAGTTTAATCGAAGGATTACGTTAATCGGAGACTGTGATATCGGCCCTATTTGTAATTTCTAAAATTCCCGCCATCTCTAGGAAAACTTGTCCGTCAGGCAATTCACCAGATTCCCCTAGGCCTTAGAATCTTGAGGCGCGCCACGTTGGCGACTTCCGGCGTCGGGCGCCACGGAAAAGACGTACTACGGCGGCCATTTTGCATTATCGGTTTTCGCGTGTGTGCGTGTGTACTGTGTAGTACGATTGCCGACGTCCTCTTGCGCCGCGTATATACTTGGCACGTCGAGGATCGTTTTGCGGAGCAGGGTCACCGAAGTAGCGACAAGTAATCCGGCGGGAAGATGGGCCGCAAGAAGAAGAAGCAGTCGAGACCCTGGTGCTGGTATCCTTTTTGTTTCCTCTTAGGAAAACGGCGGCGACGACGACGATGACGACGACCTGCAGCGGTCGCCTTTACGTAACCGTATTTTTGGACCGCGACGTTACCGCGCGATCGCGCGGCGAGAAACGATCGCGATTGCCACGTGATTTATGCGGCGAGTGACGATCTGTCCTTCACGCCCCAGGACGAAGCTCATGGAGGCCCGCATCGGTGTGGCGAGCGCGGCGTCCGCGGAAGGCGGGGAAATCGATACGCGATTTTCTCGCGACACGCGACATCTCTGTGTGTATGTGTACGTGAGAGAGCGCAGCTGTTTCCACCAATTCCACCGTCCTCGCGTTCACGCGGCACGTTACGCCGATGATGTAACGCGTACGAAGGGCTTCCGCACGGAACTCGCGGAAGCGGCTGAGTCGAGGGACGGATCGATGTTTCCTGTCCCCACGAAATTAGGGATAATCATTGAGTCCGTTTGCTATTGCTGAACTGGCTGCGCTAATGTAGAGTTTATCTTTCTCCTTCCAATGTGGAGTAAGAAAGATCAACTTTGAATTAGTGCAGCCCATTCAGTAATAGAAAACAGATTTTTTGTATCAGAGTCTGTTCTCTATTGCTGAACGGACTGCGCTAGTTCAGAGTTGATCTTTTTTATTCCACATTGGAAGGAAAAAGAATAAACGCTAAACTAGTTGAGCAATAGAAAACAGATCCTTAGATTCGGATGGTTCTCTTGCTTAGGTTTTCTGCTTAAGTTTTTTCAGCTGGTTATTTATCACAGTTTTCATGTGGGCTAATTGAAAATATAGATGATTCCTTCAGTGACTCGTAAAAAAAGTCTAAACACCGAGAGATCTTTAAATTAAATTTAAGCTTTCCGTAAAGAATTTACTGGGGAGAATCAATGGAATTTATTTTGTAAAATCATGAATAATCTATGAATGTTTTCGTGACAAGCAGTTAGAAGTCGGAAGGATATGCAGCTTTGTAGCGACTTGCTTTGAGCAGTGTTCAATCTATGAATTGAATGAAAAGCTTCCATGTGGATAAGTCGAGATACATTTGAAATTTGTTTTGTCATATTACGAGTCATCTTTCAAGTTATTTATTTATTTAGCTGTTTGAATTATAAAAACTTGAAGGAAAGATTTTATCTGTAATTGTTTACAAGATTGGCTTAAATTTAAATAATACATATTTTTCTGAATTTAGAGTTAAAACTTTGTTAAGCAAAACTTTTATTTTAAAAATTAAAAATAATTTTGAAGAAGCCTAATTTTAAGGGACAATTCTTCATTTTTTTATGTTCTATTTTATTTTTATTTTCTTGTAAGTTATGAATTTTTCTAGGTTTATTATTTGTGACGTTACTTACCTAAGAGTCTTGACTTGATACATAAAAACTAGCTATTATTTAAATCTCATTCTGTAAATTTCCTTAATGCCACACTTCAAAAGGTATTGTAACCGTGAATTCGAGGACGAGAAGATCCTTATTCAACATCAGAAGGCAAAGCACTTTAAATGTCATATCTGTCACAAGAAGCTATACACTGGACCAGGGCTTAGCATACATTGTATGCAGGTAAACAAAATTACATGCTTATTATGTTTATGTTTTATCTGCTTAATATTTCAAGATTAACGCATGTCCCGTCTTCACAGGTACACAAGGAGGCGATAGACAAGGTACCGAATTCATTGCCAAATCGTAGCAATATCGAGATAGAGATTTATGGGATGGAGGGCATACCACCGAATGACGCAAAGGAGCACGAGAGACAGCGAAACGGTGGGAGACCTGGCTCGCCATCGTCCGGCGAGGATGAACCGGTACAGAAAAAGGCGAAACCCGAGGGTTTGCTAGGTTCTGCGCCAGGTGCGATGTCTGGTATGGGGGGCGGTCTACCAGGGATGCCACCGCAGCCAGGTATGCCGCCGCTACCTGGTATGGCACCCCACCCAGGTATGGCGCCACATCATGGTATGCCGCCACATCCTGGTATGCCTCCCATGCATCCCATGATGCCGATGGGCCACGTAGGACCTCCATTCATGGGGCATTCAGGGTATGTATTTCTTGATTAACTATATCAAGAGACACGCGCGGTAGTGTCTCGCGCCAAGTACACGCGAAGTGAGACCGATCGTGACTCTTTTACGCAACGCGACGATTTGCGAGTACTCGAGATGTTGAGATATTATTAACTATTATACCTCAAGTGTATTCGTATTAATTTCACTTTTTAAATTTTTATTTCTTTTTGACTGTGGATTTTCAACTACTTAGTATTATAGTTTATCTAGAATTCGATAGAATCAAGTACAAATAATATAATGCTTTATAGATTTTTAAATGCTCTTTATCTTTATATTTCAGCAATAATATATAACAATAATCTTCTATCTTTCTTCATGAGGGCTAATTACAGCCATAGACAAAATTATTAGGCACCCTTGTTTCTTCTGAATATCTTGAAATTAATGAGTTTTCTGCTTACATGTTTTTATCCTTATTGATCTTATGAATGGTTCAAACAGTTGAGGTACAAAGTCCGTTATCTTATTTATCTTATTTCGATTTTGATTAATACGGACGCGATTATTTCCATTTTACAAGCAATTGCTAGACTTTTTTGTCTGTAGGCAGTGAACAGACAGAAAGTCTATCAATTGCTTGTGAAATGGAAATAATCGCGTCCGAAATACGGAGTGAACAGTTTTCTGAATAATATTGCTATTCCCCTAAGAAAGATAATGGACTTTGTACTTCAATTATTTGAATCATTCACAAGGCCAATAGGATGAAAACAACAAAAAGCTTTACACTCATTCAGTTCCAAGATATTCAAAAGAAAAAGGGTGCCTAATAATTTCGCCAATGGCTGCAGTCCAGTAAACATTCTTCATGTTAAGTAACCTTTATCTTTTTTTTTTCGTATTTTTCCATAAACGATTAATAGACCTTAACACAAATGTTCGTTTTAAAGAATGCAAATAACGAATTGTAATTGAACTTTTTTACAAAACTAACTTTTTTCTTTTCTAGCATGATGCCCGGCATGTCGGGCATACCTTCCGGGATGCAGCCGCCAGTTTCAGGTGCATCAATACCGCCACGTCCGCTATTCCCGAGCGCCGCTGCTGCAGTCTCGACAGTGGCGTCATCGACGGCGGCGTCGGTTACCGGATCTGCACCTCTTGGCACAGATTTCAAGCCGATCACATCGGTGGCCAGTGGCGGTTCCATAGGCCCAGTAAAGCCGACATTCCCCGCGTACAGTAGCGCTGGCGAATCCGCTGGCGTTAACACCGGCAATAGTCTCGTCAGCGGCGATCAGAAAGTAAATCTTATCGCGACCACTGGGGCCGCCAGTAAGATCATTCATCCTCCAGAAGATCTCAGTCTAGTAAGTTTTAATTTTTATTTTTTACATAAAAATTTAAAAGCAAGTAGAAATATTTGGTATTCTGAAAATAATGCTTTTAAACAATGGAAACCGCTAACATAAAATATATTTTAAACAAAGAATTCGTCTTTTAGGAGGAAATTAGGGCAAGACTGCCAAAGTATCAACGTCGACAAACCGATGAATCTGGACGATCGACACAAGCGGAAGCAGCAGCGGCAGTGGCGGCGGCGGTGAGCCAGCAACAGCAGGTCGCCGCCCTGCAACAAGCGCAGCAGCAGCAGCAAGCAGTGCAGCAGCAGCAGCAACAACAGCAGCAGGCGCAGCAACAGCAGCAAGCGGCTGCTAATGTGGCGGCGGCCGCGTTTCAGGCGGATCAGCAGCAGCGACAGCAGCAGGCGGCGGCATTGAACGCACTGCAGCAACAGCAACAGAGGTTCCAGCGGCCGCCGCAGACGGTCATGGTACCGGCTTCAGCCGCAGCAATGCCAGTTAGCTCGGTTGCGTTGATGGCTCCCCTAATGCGGCCAACCATGACCCTAGCCGCGCCTGCTCTCATTCATGGAGGTAACATGATGCGACCGCCCCCCATGGGCCTGCCGCCAGGTAAGTGTCTGCGGGTTTGAGCTTTACGAAAAACTCTACCCGCCACCCCCTTTACCCCGCACCTCCACCCCACCTCTACGTACTTGACGAACAGATCTGCTCTGCTGTCTTTTTTGTCCCCTCTTATCGTTGAAATTTGGAAATTTCCCTCTTGGTATTTTTTTGACGATTTCTTTCCAATTACCCTCGCCCCGCCCCTCCCCTCCCCCCTTACCGGCTGTTGAAGACAATAACTTTAATTGGCGCACAAGAATAAATCGTATCGCGATTAGGTTTTCTTTTTTTCCTTTTTATCACGCGTAAAACTTTATAAAGTACCTATATTGAACTGAAAGTCTCTTGCCCCGTTTCGAAAACGATCTCCCTAGGAATATCCTCTTAAACTTTTTTTGCTTCAAGGATATCGCAGACCCATAATCTAACAATCGATTTGCTACGTTGTATTAATGTAGAAAAAAGCGTTTTCGATGGAGCGTTTATATTTAACGACAATTCAGTCATTAATTATCGGGTATTTAAATTTTTTAATGTCTCGCGCGATACGTTGAATTAAGCAGATTCTTTTCAGGCAGTGATTGAGTAGCTCCTTATTGAGCAATTTTAATTCATTGACTTCAGATTCCATCGAAAATGCGATGTATTTTATTCTTATACTTCGTGAACACAACCCTGAATGTATCATCTTTACCCAGTCCTACTCGGTCGATGGCCGGGAGAGAATTTTTCTGTCTACGAATGAGGAAGAGAAAATGTCGGAATATTAACCAAACAATACTTTGCCTTAGTTTAATTTGGTTACACGTTGCACTGCACTAGTTATTCATGACAACAGCCACTTCTATCCTTTGAAAAAGAAAACTTACTTAAAGAGAGACAACGAAAGCGAGCGTTGAGACAAATAAACAAGAAACAGACTTGACATTTAGTGGGAAGGGGCCAGAAAAATTGACGACGTGCGCGAAATTGCGTATATACCACTGACTCGAAATGGCAAAGAGAAAGAAAACCGAGGCGGGAAGAATATCGTGACTATTCAGATAGAAACTATAGAGATCAAGATTTCTCGACCGAATGATACGCCACAGAATCTCGACGACACAGCGTCTTGTAGTCCTTGTTCGTTTATACGTTTTAACGGTGCGTTTGCAGGGCGCCCGGTCACTCCTCGATGAGTGTCGAACGAACCCAGTCTGGTTACTAAAACCGTGTTTTACAATACAAGCGCTACAAGGTTGGTCCTTAGCAATTAGCATGCGGTGACATGGCCTATATCTATATACATATATATATCTATATATATATATCTTGTTATATTTATTATTCTTATATATTGTTGATTAATCTTGTCATCATTGTCATTAATACACCTACATGTATGCGTATATACGTGATATATATATAGTGACTCCCGAAACTCAGAAGGACGGTGTAGGAAACTGTTTCGAGTAGCTTTCGCGAGCCACCGTGTATATATTTCTGTATATTCGTAATATTTTATCACTGGGCAGGTGGGTCGAGCGGCCAACGACACGTTCCTTCTTCCATCTTAACTCCAGTTTCTTTAACGGATTTGCAACACATTTAAACACTTGTTGAACAATTTGACTTTTCCGATTTGAGAATGCCTATCGCAGATTAAAGTAACGAGAGTCGGTATTGGAAAATATATAGAGAGTAGCTGTATCGCTGAATGATCGCTCCCATATCAGATTGATCAAAACATGAATCCGATTAAATATTGAAGTTATTATGTATGATTAATGCACATGCAGACTAATAAATAGAAATAGAAATAAATGAGACAGAACAATAACCATCAGTCTTAACTGCATTGATATGAACTATTAAAGAAAATTACTGCACTTTTTATTCGCTAAGATTCCACGATATTATTATTAAATCCATAATCGTTATACAAATTACAACAATTATTTTATTATTTCTTTGTTATTGTTTGATTACTACTCGATATAGAGAATTTCGATAATTATTTAATTAAATTAATCTTCAAAATTTTATCGTAAGAAGTAATTTTATATAATGAATTACTTAGTACCTTTACTTTTCAAAGATATTAAATGATTCAATGGATTTTTTCCCCATCGATCGTTCACTGATGCATCTATCCGATCACATTTCTAAATTAATATTACTTTTACATCGTGACACTCGTTTTTCCATTCACGATTTCGTAGTTTTATACATTTTTTTTAATAATTTTTCTGCGACAATTTGATTCCTGTACAGTTCATGGTACAGTTTATTATGCGAAAGACAAAGATAGACTTTTCGGCCGCTCGGCCGTTACAACTTTTATACATCTCTTTCATGTATGATTTCTTTGTTTCTTTTCCGTTCCGTTTCTTAGCTTCTTTATTCACACTCTCTCGATTTAACCATGTTACTCTTCTTACGACTCACATATGCCATTATTTACCTCGCCAGCAGCCGTGTTGCCATCTTGTCTCTTCAGTATTACTTATATATTATATATAGCTTGGAATCCTGGTGTTGTGATACAGTAGTGGAGAAACTGCTTCCTTGGGCACGGTACTGACAGTCGTTCGAAGTTGTCGTTCCAAAGTGATAAGAAACAAATGATAATTACAAACGATAATTATTTTTCTCTCGCGATCTGTCCCTTCCTTCTTCGCATTCGATTGATGATCATGTTCTGATAAGTCGGTCATCAACTGAAGTCGCTATAACTTCGACGATTTCAATATTTGGGACTACACAAAATATCGCGGATCTATCGAATCACTATCCATGGATTCTTTGAACTTTGAACACTTTTTCAACGACAATATGAAAGAATTAATAATCTTTATTGAATTATGAATAAGTGTGTAAGATTGCGAAGCTGAGCTTCTGCGATTTAAATAGTAGAACTCCGAAGTTGTGAGATTTAAACAAGCGTCAAAAAATTTGTCCTTTAATTTCAAACAGACTTTCTTTTTCTTCAACAGATTTGCAATTTGAAAATTATCAAGATATCTGTTGACATTCAAAACTTGCTGTGTGCAAAGTACAAACTTGCGAAGAGCGAGCAGGATATCTTTACTTAAAAAGAAATCGATTTCAAAATTGTTCGAAGAATTCCTGAGTGAAAAGTGACTTGAGAGATCTGGGATGCATTAAAAAATATAAATTATGTTAAATATAAATGGAATAGCACAAAACAAGATATCGTGAAGAGGGAAAGGATCGAATTGTGTTCTCACCGTGCTCGCCGGTGCATTTTATTTTATTTTATTTTATTTTTTCTCATGGAAAGTAAGAAACTAGCAACGAGAACGAACGTAATGTATCTCCCTCACACCATAGCCTAGCTTTTGTGTTACACAATGAAAGATTTTAGATAAATTGAGCTGAGCAACAGTAAGTAAACGACTTCACGTTACCTAGTATATCTCTCTTGCGTTCAATTCGAGGGTCCGTCCGATCAACATGATTTTTCTCTTTATTACGCCACGCGGATACTCATCGAATATCGCCGAGTATCGCTGAAAACATACAAAAGAAAAAGCTAGAAGAAGATAGTGCAAGTAGAAGAAATTTGATGCTGATTTTTCTCGCGTCCGGATGATGCCTTCGAGAATTTCAAACCAATCATTTTACACTGCTCGATTGTTGTTAGAAGAAAAAAAAGGCAATGCCGTAGTTCGAGGACTTCTGAGTGACTAAGCGCGTTTTTGGCGGCGATGTCCTTGTTGGAAGAAGTCGACTGGCAGCTGAACGATCTTCCGTAAGCGGGCTTCCGTAAGAACATTTTGCAATGTCGTGCCGATGTTGCGCGTCTTCCTTTCCCCCCCGAGTGAGACTCGTTCCTTGTATGGTGTGAGGTTTTTCTCTGTGTGGTACCACCTTCTTGTCAGTTTTGTTTGTGACTTGTATTGCGTATGCGGCGCACTGCATGCTGAGCTGAGTTCTACGTACGTTATGTACCTATCGTATATACGCATATCTAGTTGGCGATTCGTATTGATCAGATTGCTGGGTAGAACGTAGTACGTGAGCCGCCGAGAAACAAATCGGGCCGGGTGGCACAGTCCTTCGGACTTTTACCTGGAGGAGAGACTCGCGTCGCGCGAAGAAGCACGCTTCTCTTGCAGGTCGAACTCACGCTCGGCCGGCTAAAACGCTCATCTCGGCAATCGGAGACGATCGCATGAGAGAGAGCAAAGCGCGCTCCGATCGATCGCTGAATTAATATCTCGTACTTATTTCTTTCGGTGCAATAATCGTTCGGCTGTCAGGCGACTTCCTTTTCAGCGGAACATGGGTCTGAGTTGTGGCATTCTTTGGATCTGAATAATTTATTATGATTCAAGGATCGGATTAAGGAAGTCATAATTTAGACGCGTTGAATAAAATTTTATATGAAAAATTTAACTCAGTAATTAAGTAATAGTACATTATATATAGGTCTCTTAAAGATATTTAATCTTTACCAACATTTTTTAATTTTTATCTTTAAATTTTTTTTTTAGTTTTTTCACATTTTCTTATTTTCTAAACCAGATTATTTCGGAAGATTATTTTATTCCCTAATCCGTTAAAATTTTTAAATTTTATTTAAAGTGCCACGACGATTATGTGACTTATTTTGCGCTGAAGCTCGCGTAGTCCTCCAAAAACGAGCACGGTATACGACATAGTAACGGAAAAGAAATACAATAAGAAAATTGAAACTGCGCAATACGCAGGACCCATTATTACCTTGTAACGTGAACAGTCGCGACGTAAGTATTACCTGGGGATCCCGATCCCCAATTAAAAGAGAGAATGAGAGAGAGAAAGAGAAAAAGATCCTATTACGGGAGCCTGCGAACAAGACGTCGTCTCGTTCGGCGGCGTCGAAGCTCGAGTAATGAAAAGCACGTGTATGCCGCACGTGGGCAACGTACTGTTTTCTTTGCCCCCCCGCGAGATTCGATCGCGAGTCGTACTAATTTCCCGCTGCGTTGCTTTGCAGGCATGCATCTAGGGGCCCTACCACCGGGTGCCGCGATGCATCCGGCCTTCGCCGCTGCGCCGATGGGCTTTCCTGGGCCGATGCTGACGCCGATGATGCATCCGCGCTTCAGATGATCGCCCCCCATGGACGGGCCCAACCCCCCGCCGCTGCACTTCGTGCTGTGGGCCCGCCCCTAATTTTTCGCTGGGGTCTGGACCTGACCGAGGAAGAGACACGTAGAGTCACATACACAAACGAGAGAGGGAGAGAAAGAGAGAAAGAGAGAGAAAAAGAAAAGAGATGAGAATGAGAGAGAAGGAAAGCAGGAAATAATCTGCATGGTAGATTCTTCGGGGAGTTCCCCGTCAATTCTCTCTCACGATTTTTTTTTCTTTTTTTATTATATTGCTGAGAGACGGAGAAGCAAAACAACACTGAGAGGAAGAGAGAGAGAGAGAGAATGTGAGAGAATGGAAGGAAGAAAGAAAGAAAGAAAGAAAGAAAGAAAGAAAGAAAGAGAGAAAGAGAGAGACACACGCACTCACATAATGTCATCGATGTCTGAGAGGATTTCTTCGAAGAAATCGGGTGCGCGCTGGAAACGGTCAGCTCTTTCGTTTTTCTTCTACTTTATGCTACTTTATGAAAACACAAACAAAAGGAAAACACGGACGCGAAACGTTAATCGTCCTCATCGACTGCGAGTTTGTGTGTGTGTGTATGCGCGCACTTACGCTACGTTGGTCGTGTGCCAGGTGAGCTACAAACTCGAGCAAGTCTCATCGCCTTTTCTACGGATTGAAGTCAAAATAATCGCTCTGTAACAATACCGTCGTTTGCCCTGCGCGAAAACTCCAGCACGAACTGTCTGTCGATTTATCTCGCAATCTTTTATTATGCATCGGACAACCATTGTATAGTACTAGTGGTATGTCCGTCGAGATTGCGTTTCTCATTCTCGTCGCGATGACAACGCGGCGCGCAAAAGACATTATCCCTCTTGTACGAGAAGAGTCAATCTGAGGATTTGGTGCGAGAGTTGGGTCCCGCAATTTGTGAGATCAATTTAAAATAAGCCTTTAAAATGGGCCTTGCAAATTACGGATTTTACCGTTTTATTTCTGTGACAAATCCTCTAATCGTGAGTTCAAGGTAATTGTGACGCTGTTGAAATTTTCAATGACAAGAGCCTTTATGTGCAGTTCATTGAGTTCTTGATAATCCAGATATGATTTTTCTCAGTTATATAAAGTTTTCTTAAATTGTATAAATAATGCGCACTGGTATATTGTTATGAAATTTTAATGACTTAGAACGAGAAATTAATATAATTTAATACAATAAAATTTAAAAAATATTAAAAAAGCAGATATATTTCTTCGAAATTCCTTGTTTTATTTTGCGCATTGTTACGTATAACACGCAATAATTTATTGTTATTATTGGTCTGAAGTCTTTAAACTATTTGTTGAAAAATCCAACTGAGTCACATTTATCCAGTAATGTCGTGTAAAGTTGATAATTGACATCGCAGTTCTTCTTGGAAAATGATTATACCTTTAACAACGACAAGGTGCTACGCGCTTCCCCTCTTAAAGAAGTTTTCCTTTTTCGCGCATTCAGACCGTTTCCATCACGCGCTGTTCCCCTCAGCCTCCATGCACCTGCAGTATCCTCTTGGAAAGGCGCAATCGCGGATAAGGTGGCGCTTCACGCTGCAGCTGGATGATGATTCACTAACAATAAGTAGAACTCGAGATGAGAGAGCATTCTCGAGACAGTTCCGTTCCGTGACGTTTGAAATTTTTGTTTCTCGACTTGCCTCGAGTAAACTCGATGTAAAGATTTCCAGAGGGATCGAAGACGCGAAAATACTGTCCAACTCTTTTCTACAAAGAGGAAACTAGACTTGAACTCACTTAATTATTTCAGCGAAAACACTTGAGAGAAAGGTTTATTTTATTTCAGTCTTTTGAGAATTTAAAAGGAAAATAACATGAATAATATGGGTTATAGATAGGTATTCATGATAATATATCTATAGATATTTTAGAAGACTCGCGAGTAAGTTGAGAACCTGGTTTATAATTTGAGTCAGTTATTTATGACTTTGTTTTTTATTTAAAAAAATTTATATTTTATTTTGGGTTAATTTTACACGGCGCGTCTTCGATTTTTTTCGTGATAGAATAGCGTGGTTTTTTTTTCTTTTTCTGAAGAGTAGCTTAAATTCCTAATGATTTTTGTAACCACGAAAGGAAGTAGTGATGACGGAGAGTCTCGGTATAATAACACGTTTAACTTGACCAGTTCTCACGAAAATATTATAGAATCAAGAGCATAGATCAACGCAAATGAGAGATCGAGTGTACAGTTTAAAACCTATTTGCTAGCCGCAGTGTGAAGATTCGGTCGCCTCAGGTTAGTCTGTCGCAAATTTTATTTTATTATTATTCCAATTCGAGCCGAGGCACCCTCGCGACGAGCAGAGGATAAAAGAGAGAGCATAAAATTAATCTACTAAACAAAAAAATTGATTTTTTTAGTTTATTTTATTAATTTACAAAAATAATCTGTAGAACTTTTAAATTGCTGTCTGGGTGAAAATTTTAATTAAATATTAATAAGGTCTTAATTTGAGAGAAAGATGACACCCGCAAATATATGCTAATTTCGCGATTTAAGATAAATGAAGATGTTTAGAAGAATGAATAACAAGTAATTTATATGTATAAAAAAGTGAAAGTAGAGTTTCAAGATTGACTTGCGAGGGTGATTGACTCGGCTCAAGAAAGTCCTCTTTTTCCCTTTCTGCCAAAGGAACAATGTTGGCGACGCATGAGTGAGTGGTAAGTACGGAGGGTGCTCACGGAATCGAACACCAGCTCTCCACACTCGACTCACGCCGTTTTCTTCACTCTTCCTTTACCTTCACGTCTCGCCGATTCTCATCGCCGATCGTAGAGCGTACCCGATCTCGCGGGCGGACTTTAACTCGTGATTTATTTATCGTTATTCTGAAAATCTGCTTCTACTTTATTCCGTCTATAGACCTTCGAGCGCGAACTCGCGATTCGTTCGATAGCGTAGTTTTCATATATTTAGCCCTAATAGCACTTGATATTGCATCTTGCTCTACGATCGGAATCACGCTCAATTCTTCCTCGTCCTTTAACTTGGCGAACTTTTTCCACTCTGTCTACAAGACTCTTGGCACCTCCCGAACTTCTTTTATCTATTCTCTCGCGTTCGCCTTACATCTCTTACCTTTTGTCTACTATACGCTCTTATTAGTTTCTACTCAGGGTGTCTATTGATAACGCTGACCGGAGTGTCCGTTTCTCCGCGAAATTCCCGTTGCTTATATGTATCGTTAAGTCCACCTACAAGACACACTGTTCCTACAAAGCTGTAAGAGATATTGTCCTAACTTTTTACGATTAGTTGAAAATAATTGTATCGTTTTTAATGTCTTAGCGCAGTGGAAATATTTATCGGTGTCGATGTCGAGTTAATTTTAATCTTAAGTCATCGTTTGTCTCTTTCCGGAACTAGAACCAAACTAGAAGAAGAAAATAGATCGTATACTGGGATCGAGGGGGTCACACTCGGCGAGAGCGAATGCGTATCGATCGGCTTTATACCGACGCCGATTAATTTCCCAGTTCGGCTCGTCGTCGATCCCTTCTAGAGAAAGGGAGAAAGTAAATCAATTATTAATTTAGCAAAATTCGATGTGCGTGCCGTTCGTTGCGCGACCAAACTTAACTTTTCGGTCAACTTTCGTTCTAGGTTCAATCGATTGATCGTCCTCACGGACGAATAATCGATCCGATCGGGCCGAGATTTAAGCGAACGATAACGGAAGAATCGCCCGTGCATATATAGATCGTTCACGCCGTGATCGTTCGTAAACGTGGGCGCGGTGACGAAGACCCCTGATTGCTTCCTGTATTGTTGTCTTCAGTAGGCACCCTGCTGCTGGTTCTCGTTCTTTCGACCACTCTCGCCCACCGTCATCGTCCGGTAGTGTACTACCAATGCCTCCTCGACCAAATAAAAAAGAAAAGAAACAAAAAAAAAAAACAAAAAAAGAAAATACAGAAAAATAATAGAAATGAAAATGAAACAGCATTGAAAGCGCGCCGTACAACACGTGTACGTACCATAACATGATCTACGCATCGTTATTATAATTCCTTTATTTTTCAGGGGTTGTCTTTCCGAATCTCCCCCCGCGAACACTCTGTCTACCGCTTTACTCTCTCGCTTTAAAACAGCGCCTCGTTCGCGACCATTCCGAGGGCCACCGGATTGTTGACTTGCTCAAGGATACAAGTAAAATTATTAAGATTTATATGACTATTGATAAACACGATTTTTCTTTTTTTTTTTGTCAAGTGCCTGTTTAGATAAATATTTGGACTCGAGAGACGAGGCTTTCCAAAAAAATGAAAAATTGGAAACGAAAGTGGACGATCAATCCGTAGAGACTATATATAGCAGTTACGTGATATGACAACCGTTGTATTACGTAAAGCTGCCTTTGCATAATCGATCCACAAAAATCAAGCCGGGTTTTGGTTGCGCGATTTTTTCCCCAAGAATATAGAAAAATAAAGATGGAAAATAATATGTGTAAATATATTATTTTTATATAATTATATATTACATATATTTATATGTGTATATTATATAATTATATAAACACGATATATATATAATTATTGAATGTGAAAAGAAGAGTTTCTATGAATTTGTAAATTTTATTATAAAATTGCGGTTTTTTTTTTTTTTTTTTTTTTTTTTTTTTTTTTTCCCCCTCTCTCTCCCAAGATTTTGAGAATTGTGCGAACCAAACCCGGGGATGCCCTCGTTTTTCTTTCTTTGTTTTTTTCCTTTTTATCTTCGTGAAGAGAGAAGCGCGTTTCACGCAAAGCCTCGCACTCCGGCGATTCGGCAGGACAATCTAACAGCAAAATTTTAAGATGTAGAAGTTCTGTTATTTATTGAGTGTCATATTACCGACATGTTCCGAATAAAATAAAGAAAACGTTCTGTGGAAAGCTCGAATGTTTTGGGCATAGTCTGCTGTTCTGGGATATGTCGCCGTAGCGATCTCGCAATCGCAGTTTCTCAACTTGGCCGATGTGACAAAGTTGACGGAATCTCTCGCGCACGCATCACATTTTTATAATTATGCATAATCTAAATATATTATACGCTTTTGTGTCTTGTTATCTAAGTCAGGGATTGAAGAACGGTGTGATTTTTTTTCTCCCGATCACGATGTTATCGCTGGATCCGTATCCCAGAATTGCGGGCGACAGCCACATATTGTTTCAACCAATCACAGCAATCTCATCGCTGTTGGACCTAATCGGTCCCTTGCCTCAAGGCAGGCGATTGTTTGGACCTACCGTCCTAGAGTCGAGGCAACCGAGTCGCAACCTCCCGATTTTCTCTGGTTGGAATCGCATACCGACCTGGAAGAAAAGCGAACGAGCTCTCATCTGAGATTTTCAATTTTCAGTTTTGAAATTCCAAATAGGAGGCTGGAAGAAAATCGCAGAAGCGAAAATCGTGTTTAAGAGAAAACGAGTAGATTTTTATTTTTGATCAATTTTTATCTTATTTAAAAATTAATGTTATCGCGTTTTGATTTAATGTATAATTCGAAGTTATTGATCTTTTTACAGCATCAATATATTTTTATATCTATCTTATTATATTAGTTGTCAGTGTAGCTTCATTTATATATACAATTTTTTACGCGATAAAATTCAAATATATTTTTGCTTATACGTTTTCTTCCAGACAACGGCTCGATTCGGCTTTTCAAATTGCAACAGGATCGAAGAGAAAAAAAAATCTGGGAGAGTGACGGTTCTCGGCTTGGCGGACGCGTGGCTGGACCGAGAAACAATATTAATAATCGGTTGATGAATCGCGGGTAAATCGTATTAACCGATCGATCGTTCGGAACGTCGAAACGAGAGAAGATTGTGTTCAGATATGTAGAGCGATGCAATTAGCACGTATCTCTTTTGTCGACGAATTTTAATCCTTTCAAGACGCTTTCTGATCGCTTGGCTTCTGTAGAAAGACACGCATTCTGAATAACACAACGATTGGCAATTATTTAGATATTATCTAAGCGTTTTTAACTTCTGTCTAGTGGAGTTCGAATCTTTTTTCAAATCTCTAGAACTAATATTTAAATTCTAAAGAGAGGGAATATAGTTTTTATTTTATTTACCGCTATTCTTATTCGAACGTTACATTTATTTAGTTATTTTTATTTTATTAATCTTCTAGGAAGAAGAAGCATTTTTCAAAATACGATCAAATGAAAAGATCTAAGAAAGTTTATATTGAGATGAAGATATTAAATCCCTAATCCATGGTTAAAAATATTTTTCTGGGCTAGTGACCTGGCAATTATTAATTATAGCATTTCTGTAATATTATTATCATCATTTCGTAACTTAAAAAATTATTAATTTAATTTCCAAATTATTAATTTTTTAAAATTTGCCATATATTTTTTTATTACTTTATTTACCGCATTGTCTCTAAAGTGTCGAAAGGATTAATAATGCATAATTGCAACTCTGCGGCTGTACCGTCGAATAATCGTGAATGTTTTCAAAATTGCCTGCACTCGAAATTTCACTCTCTTTTTTTTTCTCCTCGAATTGACGGCAAAATTTGCGAGAGCGAATTTTTACCGAGCAAGAATTTCGCGGCTCTCGTTTTCGACAGTTCGATCGTATCGTAGAATGCTTAGCTGGTTCTCTTTCTATATATATATATATATATATATATATATATATATATATATATATATCATATATATCATATATATATTATATGTGTATACCGATATCGTCCTGTATCCCTTGCGCTCGCGCGCAAGGACCTCGCCTCCCTGCCCCCGTTCCCTTTTTAATATCCTTACGTCCCCCTTTACGCTAATAATGTCTTTACACTTGGTGACAGCGGATGCACGATATTCGCTCTCGTGGGAATCGCTTTTGCTCGACGAACCGGTAACACGGTCGCTCTTTGTCAGCCTAATACTATTATCCCGCGGCTCGGTCCATTCGGGAATAAAACGCGCCTGTTCGGGATCATTCCAACGTCTCTCTCCCTCGTCGTCTCAGGGTATCGTAATGATCGGCTGTCATTTTATAGCGAGATTAAAATAAATAAAAATCGTTTTTTATTTTTTTACTTGGATGAGTTTCTATTCTTGTTACGACTTTCGTAATTACATCTACTTTGCTGTAAAATAATTAAGAGGAAATTGAGATAAAATCAATATATACCACTATTTTAATATTTTTATTCTCGAATGAATTTTTATCTATCGCGATTTTATTTCAATATAATTTTTCATAACCCAAGTAACAATTTAATAATTTATTAGGAAGTATAATTCCAGCAAATTTGATATTAATGTTTCAGCTATTTTGCTTGTCGGTGAGATCCGCGCGAATCGCGTGCATAAATTTTCCGTTGCAAGAGTTTAACGATGCGTCGCCGAGGTGTTTTATCGCGTGCTCACTTAGGCATTTAACGGCGCGATGTTCTAAGCCGCTTAGCCAACATCGCTTAATAAACACAACGATGTATTAGAGAGCCGATTTACGCGCAATTTCAACGGCCACTTTAACTTGGACGTGCTGAAAGAAAAAAGAAGGCGCTTCGCGAGAAAGCGAGGCCGACTTTTCGCGTTCGTTTAGCGAGAGGAGGGCGATTTTGCGGATCCAAGGAAAGAGACGAAAGTCTCTCGTTCCTGTTCGTCGTCTTTATTTCCGAAGCAAGGACCGACCGCGGGGGCTCTAGACGTAGCTTTCTATCCTTCTACACCTTGTTGTTTTCAGCCGACTGCGTTACGAGCAGAACGGACAATAATGATCGAGGAAAAGAAAGAGAGGGATATGAGAAAAAAAAGTAGCGAAGTGACACGAGTGTGTGTATCCATTCAGACTGATCAATAAAATCAATTCGAACGAGAAAGAACACCGAGCGATTTTGCGATCGAAGTCGCGGCAAATCGATTGAAAGAGACGGAGGGGAGAAAAGAAAAATAGAGGTTGATCGAAGTGAAAAGATTTTAGAAGGAATCAGGCTGTGACTTCGAGCGTAACAACGTTCGTCTATTTTATTTTCTACGTGATCCTTGACCATAAGAGAGTGTTCCACCGCACCGTGTTAAATGTAGTCCTAGCGTAACAAGTGGAATCTAATTGAATAAGTCAGATTAGATCCACAATTGAGTGAACTGAATTGAACAAATAAAAAAAAAAATAGAATTATATTTAAATTGAATAGAATAAGTTGAATTTAGTTTGCGATTAAAGAACGATCGAATTAAATTTGTTATTCGTAGAATAAATTAAATTAAGTTAATTAAAGTAAGAGAATCGAATCAAGTCGAAGACTGCATTACGTAAGACTCGTAATTATGAGAATTGAATTGGATTGAGAAAAACAATGACGGATTTATCGTCTCGCGCGAATGGAGCTATAATTAAATCAAGCCTGCATAGTTCGCGCGGGACCTCTTACGAGGCTCAGGGAAAAAAGATCGCTCTGATAACTCGGACTTGATATAACTTAACTAGATAATCTCTCCTGCGAAAGTGGTTCAGCGGTAACTTTCTATGAGGCCCGCGGTTTCTCATCGCTTTCGCGTTCATTTCCCTTCCTTTCTCGTCGGAAAATAATTTCTGCGATTATGGAAATTTATGGGATGATTTTCATTTCTGTCGACCAGCAGAAATCTTATTGACAATGTATCGCGCGTTACTCTACGTGAAAAGTTTAGTTGTAATCCGCAAAAAAGTCCGCACAGAAAAATCATGAACGTTGTAAACAAGAAGTATCCAACGCTCAAATGATTGCAGGTACAAGTTGATAGGCAGGTACGAGTAAATAATTTTGCAATTTTTCTCGTCTTGATAGAATCGATAATCGAAGTTTTACTTTCAAACCATCTTAACCATCGTGTCTTGCATAATGTACATTGTTGGTAAAGCGTTAGTTCGAGAGATGGTTTAGGAATAAACCATCAGAAAATTAGTCGACTGATGCGACGTTCAGCCATGGACAAGAGCGAATTGCAGACACTCCTGCGAATACCGATGGCATAGTTCGAAAGTCAAATGCCATGCTGCCTTTTCTGCCAATCGATAGGTGCTTCGCCGCATAGGTCTGTGCATCGATCTGCCCGCGCGATATCTAGGCCGACGAATTTTCCTTTGTTTCTCGAAACGCAACAGCTGAATCGCATGTCGTTGGGCGTACGGTGTAATTCGGTGACCCCTTCCTCTGCAGTTAAAAGGATATCCGGTTTCAGCCCTATATACGTATCGCCGAGGTCGACATTCACGATAGTATAATCGCATAATGTGAATGGACTGTATATAGTATGAGCGAAACTGTTGTATTTTTCATTCATCAGCGGTCGTTCGCTCGTATCGTAAGACGCGATAATAAACGATAAACGCGAGAATGCAATAGTTAGAGCCTCATAACTTCATTATCGCGATATGTTTTATGGGAGCTCTTTCGAGGTTTCTTAAGATTATCGATAAATATTACATAAGACCGTCGAAATGTCTCTTTTTTTAAAATTAAACTAGTTTGACAATTTTCGCTTTCAACAATATTTTAAAATAATATACTATTATTGTCTTTAATTATAAATAATTAGTTTTACACACGCAGACAATCTGCGAGATTTTGTAAGATTATTTTTACAATTTATTTTTGAAGGAAATATATTTTCTTGCGTCATGAATTTTTTTTATTATATGATTAATTCTTTATTGATACCTTAATATTTATTTTGTTTTGTTAATTTTGTTTTTATAAAGTCATATTTATCTGCACTATATCTTTTGGCGAAGACATTGTTCAAATTACAAATGCGACGACATTGAGAATTGAGAACGCTAATTACACGCCGGAGGAAAGAGCTGCTTTTCCGCTGATTGAACGTTTTGATTAATGTTTATCATCCAGAGGCGAGCCGGTCGTTGGTCTAAAACGAGCTTTGCTTGCGGCAGTCTTTATCGGGATTATTTAATCGACCCGAAAGAATTGGCGCCGTAAATTGCGCGGTTGAAATATGCGGGCACGTCTTCCGGGTGTTGCTGATAAGGACTTGCGCGGCCGACTTTCGAAAGCTTAGACCTTTTTCAGGTTGATCAGAAGCCGAAGCTGATTGAACTACGCTTCACAACACTTCTCAAATGACGCAAAAATGAGGAACAATTAGAAAATGTTTTTTAAAGCTTCAGGGATTAAATTGACAAAGAGATCGAAGGAAGTTTTCAATCTCGCTACACTAATAAAGGATTAGACGGGGAGGAAAACGATGCGAAAGGAAGAGCAAGGTCTTCAAACTTACAGAGGGTGAATCCAGGTGAATAGGTGAACCGATCGATCAACGGTGAACGGCAGGACGAGCTAATCGACACAGTGCCGAGCGTTGTTTAACCCGCAACCTGTCATCTGCGCCCGATGTAAGAGAAGAAACTAAGTATTATAAAATTTAATGTTTCTAGCACAGAGAGAGAAATCGTCCAATCGATATTGTTAATTATTCAAATTAATTATAAATTTTTTGAATTGTAATACGATGAATATGTACGAGATATGCAATGTGTGTCAACGAGCGAGCCAGCTTTGTTGTTTTAAATAAATATTTCCGGTGATTAAAATAGAAAACCGATAATTTAGAATTTTATTTAGCTCGGGAATTTATTTAGAAGTCATTAAACATGTTAAACAAAAGAGCTAAACGATCCAAAAACAAGTTAATTGAGTCATGTACCGCTTATAATCGCGAGATGCGATCATCGAGGTTAACAAGCAAATTCGCCATTGAGGCTGACTGGCTAACTTTTATCTCTCGAGTTCCAAATTAGTTTTATCTCTTTTTCTTTCTTGCAGCATAGTGCACAGGCCTAGACGTTCTATGCACGAGCGGAGACGACGCTAGCGACGACGGTCGTACGGCACTGACAATCACGAAAGTGAAAGCCAGGTGTAATACACCGCCAATCGACCTCGAAAACGCGTAACACTCCCGCGAGAGTAGCAACGCTATAGAGCTCGGGAGAGATATTGCGCGATGCTGAAAAGGCTAGAAAAATGCTCAGGCGAGCCACGAGCAATAGGACAGAGATCCTCGTTCCCTTCTCGCGCGCGCGCTTCGCATCGAGATGCAAATAACGCGCTAATCTCACGGCGACGACGTTTTCTTCATTGTGCGCTTGGATAATAATCGTCCGCGGACTCGCTCACCCGGATGAGAAGGCGACGGGCATTGTGACTCGCAACTGGAGAATTTCCTGAGTCGCGTTCTCCAAATCGTTGCCTTTCGTTTTATTTATTTATTTTTTTTTATTAACTTTGTCGTTTGTCCACTTGCTTTAACGGCGATTTTGTTTTTTTTATTAAGTAGCAAATAAAGCGTAGCGGTAGTGATACCGAAGAGAAAGTATAACTTGGTTGGCTTCGGACGAGATTAATTTAATTGTAATTAGTTTGCAACAATGCAATTATAGATAATAATAAGGTTGTGTAATCTATTGGAGGATGCGTTGTTATGTCTACGTTATTTTTTGACTTTATTTGTCACTGAAGAATAATACGATAATATATTTTACTTATTGATGTATTATTGTGAACGTCATTCTCCTAAACATATAATGTAATAAATGGAATGCCATTAATATAACTCGTGTTATTTACAGAAGCAGTTTTATCATTTTTCCAAGATTGTTGAGTTATTTAATTATTCGAAATATTTTATAATCTAAAAAGGCGATTTATGTATATTTTTGTCACACTATTAAATATTAAAGGATAAAATTTAAATCAATATACCTTGAGTTAAATAACAAAACAGTATTATTTTAACTTCATTAGTTTAGTTAAATTAATATATTCGACATATTGAGTAAGAACAAATGGCGACCTAAGGAATGATTAAAAATGACTCCAATATAATTTGAATATAATTTGATTCTATGACTTTAACAGTGCACTTTTTAATGGATTTTGCTTTTCAAAAGCCGAGGAAACCTTATCTACTTTGGAGGCATTTCTTAGACAATTCTAATTACATACAGTAGATCTCACTATCCTTCGATAGACTTTTTTGCGATTATTCTCACTCGCTGTCCTCGCGCGTTAACTGGATCAATGAAATTTCCAAAGGAGTCAACCCTAAGATATCTCAAGGAGTCATAAGTGACAATTACCGCCGTTATACTGCGGATTGCATTTTCGATCACCTATTTCTTCGCGATCGCCGCTTGTCCTCGCTCGTTAACTCAATTAATATAGGCTCGGCACTTCCCTCTTCTTCCCCCGCGCGATTCTTTGTCGCGGCGAGTCGACAGACGTGGCCGACAGGTTGGCCGACCGGATCTCCAACGGTACCGTACGGCCGTACCCCAGGAAAAGCCGAGCGCGGCACCGCACCGGCCAGATTCACGCCGCCACGCCGTCCAATTCCCAGTTTGTCGCGCTTAACCGGTGCGCGTGGTCCGACCTGTCGCGCCGTTCTCACTCGCGGAAGAAACGTTCGAGGTGTAGTGGTCACCCAGGATCGAGCGGATCAAGTGTAAATATTTATTAATACTTCCTCCCCTTCTGTGCCACGTGGATTTTCTCCGAAGCGTCAATAAATGTAAAATTACGAACTTAACGACGCGCGTGAAACACTGCAAAAGTACGCACGCAAGAGATCTGCCAAAGATATTTGAAGAGTGTGAAAAAATGAGCTTAAAAAGAGTGTTTGATGTTAAATATTAAAGAATGAAATTTGAACAAATACCTTGAGTTAATCAACATTTTGTTATTTTTAACTACCATGTGTGTTGAAATTTATTATTCTAACTCCATTGGTTTAGTGTATGATGAATATAATTTGACACTACGAATTTTTAACAGTGAAGGATGTCTAAAAGTTGCTTACAAGCTAAAAATATATATCCTTCACAATATATAATATATTACGTAACCCTGTTGCGTAATTAAACCCATGATAAGTATTTGCATCGAATTAACATTTAAAATAGAATCTTCAATAAAGGATACGGTTTAATTATTACTGACGAAGAAAAAGATTATCTCAGGATGATCTTCAATTTTATTTACATAAATTTTGAAAATATTTATTAATTTCCATTATTATCTCATTACTGTTCACCATTTTTTCTATTGTTCTAATTATTTATCTAAAAGTGACTGGACCTCCTGAACAAACTATTTTAGTGAATTTCGGACTCGGGAACTTTGCCGTTTTTTTATTCGATAGACATGTCGCCGCTTTTCGATCGGCTCCGTTTCCGTCGAGGAATGAAACGAGTTTGATTGGCATATTTAGTTGGCGAGATAAAGTGTCTATGCGGGGGCGGAATGCGGTTCCGCAAAGCCGCCTGACGGTCAAAAATCGCGCGAAAGTTCGCGCCCGTAAAAATCCATGCGAGACCAGTTAATTGTACGTGGAAACTCTTGTTGACTTGTCAGAAAACTTCGTTCCATTTGGTCGCAAGCATTTTGCCCTACAAGGCTGTGCCATTAGCTTCTAGCCGTACTTTCTACTCGAGGCAGAAATCGCGCGTGCAATTTGAAGCGAAACTCAAGCGACGCGAAACCGCGTTTCGATACGTGCGTGTTTTTTTTCCTCGCCGCGGAGCAATCTGCGATAATCTGAGAAAACTGCAATTGTGCTAAAAAAAAAACCTCACGCAGCCGCGAACGATTGTAATCGTAATCGTTAGTGTCGATTAACTGTGAGAAAGATTAATGTCAGCATTAAATTTTTACCGGCGGTACAACAATACGATAAACAACATGTAATTCGGTTTACATAAACCGACGAATATTTGTTAATAATTTAATAATTTATGAACAGATCGATATGCAAAGATAGTGGTATTGTATGAAAAAAGAAGGATTTAATGACGCGAGAGTCTGTTACGCATATAACGTTATCGTTATCGATTGGATGGATTTGGTATTTGGAAATATCCGGTCGACTGAATAGCTGAATGAATTTCAGATGGAACGTACTGATATAATGCACGGTGTAAATTATACGGAGTTGCGTACAAGGCTGGGTATGTAGGTAACTCTCCGGTATGAAATAACATACATATGTATCGGGCATGAGAGCGCGGTTGCTGTATCATTTAGCAGGTCGAATGTAAAGTGGTCGAAAAATCGATTGCTTTCTATTTTTCCGTTAACCGTGTTACGAGACGCTTGTTAAGGTAGTTGTATCGCGACAGTATTAGTCAAAAATAATGGTCACACTGCAATACGATAATCCGATAATGTATGAAAACTCTACTTATCTGTGTAAAACTTTTGACTGAGCTTGTACTGTTTTTACTGTTTTCACTCGCGTCAGTAATGTCAGTATACCAGTATGCTATCGAGGTTATTTTGAATAAATAGAAGAAATAGAAGCGAAAATGTCTGTTGAACGTTACAAAGGAAGATTAATTAAAAAAAAGTATTAAAGAAAAGACTTAAAGCCTTAGCAGCAATGTCTGAACTACATATATATCTAATCTTCATATGCGCAGTGTTGCAAGATCTTTACAGGTTAGCTGTCGTATGCGTCCATCGCTATGAGAAATTGTGTACTTTGTGTAACAATAGCTTCAAAACTAAATAGATAAGGGTCTTGTACTTTTGTAAGAATATTTTTACAAGTCTCTTTTGTCATCTCTTTGTTTTTCATTAAAATCCTATGAGTAGTTTGATCGCTACAATTACAAACGTGATATAGGAAGCCGTTTTCGTCCTACGATACATGTAAAAAGTGCTAAGTTTGATTTCCATTATTTCAACTTTGGTATAGTCAAGCTTTTTCTACTTGCACGTGGGTGTAGAGCGTGTTTGCATTAATATGCTGTTCAAATTTTAAAAGATTCCTATGAAAATGGGTTTTGTGATACAACTACCTTAAACATAGAAAATCTGTCGCGGCGATTCTGTACGTTCCACTGAAACAAAATTGCAGCTCTCCTCTCGCGAGAGAAAGAACATTGAATTTTCATGGCGAATAACGTCGTTTCGATTAAAATTTATCATTTCGTCATGCGAATATGTTTTTTATCTCGTTTTGCAAACATTTCTTTTGTATGTAAATTTGTCGCTATTAATTATGAAAGATCGAACAGTTCAAGAGGAGACGAAGAGTTTTAAAAAATCACTATTCAAACAAAAAATTAAAAATATTGCATTTATTTATATGAAGAAATTGAAATATTTTGATTTGTAATTTATGATGCTTACTAATTAATTTATCGCATGCTCATAATTGCGTAATATTGTGACAGCATTTAAGATTATATTATATTTTATGTAATTTCGGCTTTTAAATTAAAAACTTCTCGTTCTTATTGTTAATTCCTAATTTTAATTTTAATTTCAATTACCAATCTTTAATTTTAGTCGCTAGTAAACACGCTTCTCTAGTGATGTTGAATCATAAAGATGCGCTTGAACGAGTCTCAGTTAAGAAACGTTACTTAAAATTACAAATGACGTTCTATGAAAAAACTGCTAACGGATCAGCAATGACCTTCGACGATTCTCCAGCAATCACTCGACTGATGACAAATGCGATAGCGAATTATCAGTTCTTGGAGTGTAAATATACCATGTTGGCACTCTTAGATTATTCTTGCGTTAGTTTTCTTGTTTGTATAATAATGCACCACAGGTATTAGGATATTATAGCGACTTGAGTTTTTGAAAACCATTTATAAAATATCCGCATGGAAATTATACTTTCTGAGATCATATTTAGAAATTATTTCTGCAAACAAAATTTTAAGAATCTATTAAATGTTTTGTTTAAATCAGCTTCGAGTAAATGTTCCTTTAATTAAGTGGGATACGTTAATATAGTTTTCAGTTGATTTAGGAATTTCCATAAATTAAGCTTCTGGAATAATCAAGCAATATTAACTTTTCTGATTGACACAAGTAATTATTTAAGGGGTCATGCCTAGTTGGAAGTGCATGATTTTCGGGGATTTTTATAAGAAAGTCAATTTATTTTTTCTTACAACAAAAAGTTGATATCAAAAGTACATATATTGAACAACATTCAGAATTTTTTTCGTTGAAAAATATTGCAAATTAAGGAAGTGACGGCCACTCCTGATTTTTCAGAGGTGTCGTGCGGTGACCACGATAACTCCAAGCCAAATCATCTGAAATTAAAAAACCAAAAAGATTCTGTTAATATATGAATATATCTTGTTCGTGAACGAAGGAGGTTTTTTTTTAATAAAAACTTTTTTTTATTGAAGAAAAACGAAAAATTAAGAGCCCGAATAATTGCGTTTTTGCTTAAAACGGCCGCCATTTTGTCAAAAATTATTTTTTCAAAAAATCCTTTGTTCACGAACAAGATATATTCATATATTAACAGAATCTTTTTGGTTTTTTAATTTCAGATGATTTAGCTTGGAGTTATCGTGGTCACCGCACGACACCTCTGAAAAATCAGGAGTGGCCGTCACTTCCTTAATTTGCAATATTTTTCAACAAAAAAAATTCTGAATGTTGTTCAATATATGTACTTTTGATATCAACTTTTTGTTGTAAGAAAAAATAAATTGACTTTCTTATAAAAATCCCCGAAAATCATGCCCTTCCAACTAGGCATGACCCCTTAATAATATGTAGATTTAATTAATTAAAGAATAATTATTAATATTTCGTCGGAAGAACTTAATTCTGAATTTATTTTAATTTATTTTACTTTTGACTTCTGATATTGATTAAGGTTTTTCTGACCTTTCACTTTATCGATGAAAGAAATTAAAATTTGATGACGAATAATCACGCGATAAAGATTGGACGATTTGTCTCAGAAAAGTTTTTTCAATGATCACGCTTCGGTTTAATATGTTTCTTCGTACTCATTCATCATATGCTTGGAGAATAAAAACTTGGAGACCGCCCAATTTCTGTAAGCACCGACTCCAGTACCGTTCTTTCCACGACCCGTTATGTCATTGAAATGATATAAAAGAGCCAAGACATTTGTGAAACACATGCGAGATTACTATGTTGATTCTCTTTTGATTACTTTGCGGATTCTTCTTGCTACAATAAAACAAGATATTCCTGTGTGAAGTAGAGAATAAATCAAATATTGTTATGTAAAAATTTATATTTTAAATAATAAAAATCGCAAGATAAAAAAATTTTGAAGTTATAAACTTGAAAGTTAAGTTTTAAATAATAAATTGAACAAGTATAAGTCGTGAATTGAATTGAATAAATGAAAATAATTAATTGTGACGTAAAAGATTCGAATATAATAAAAATAAAATATAATATAATGCGATAATATTTTATTGTCAGCATATATCTGACAGGCCAACCAAAAAATTCCTCAGCATCTATGATGCGTATTATTAAAATACATGAAATTTATTGAAATTTTAACATGCTTATTTACATTTTAAATTGAAACATTTATTTTGGACAATAAACGAGCTAGAAAAAATATTAAATTCACACTCACCATTATTGATTGCTCATCATTTATTATTCATTTTCGTTTCGCAAACGATTGTCTTTCACACGTGTGGGCGTTGATAGACAGACCTCATTTCCGCGACTTCACAATTAGTCACGCGTGCGTATTAATTATTAGCGAGTCGCGGTAACTATGTACCGCGAAGGCCGTCGGCTTTCAAGGAAAAACTGGAAATGCAATCGCGATCTATCTCCTTCAGGATTCTTATTTATGCCTGCATAAAAGTAGTAACTAAATATAGACATTAATAATGAGTGCAATGTACAAAATACCAACTCGCGAGCTTAAATTAATATTAAATTTAATTATTAAACGTTATTTACATATAAATTAAACTTAATAAAAAAAATGTCAGATTTAATTTCAATTCGAGGAAACTTTAAACAAACTGGAAATATTAATTTTTCTTAAGGAACGATCTAGATTTATAACGAGGTAAATTGCGTACGATATTCTTATCAGAGTAATGACAATGCGGTGCCGGGCGTCGTCGATCGTCGTCGCAGCCGCGTTTCTGATCGTCCTGCTGAACGGCGCGATCGGCAAGCTGCGGGTCGCTTACCGATGGAAGCAGATCGATTACGAGTGGCCGAACAACGACATTAAGAGGCTCTTCCCGGATTACAAGCAGGAGGACAACCTACCCTTGGGTCTGGAGGTGGTCGGCGATCGGCTCTTCATTACGGTGCCGAGATGGAGGCAGGGAGTTGCCGCCAGTCTCAATTACATTTGGCTCAACGGTGATTAGTCTTATTCTCAAAATTACAATTACCTGCTCAAAAAGCCCTGAGAAATAGCGTAATTACTTGTCTAACATAATATAATTTACAATTTTATGACAAATGTTCGAGGAATCATTAATAATTTTAATTATATTTATATTAACCTTTAAAGACTACATCTCAAGTCTCAACCACTTGAAACTCTTCAAAAATTGATGTTTTTAGACAATTTAATATTAATCATTGGCAACTTTTCTAATTCTATTATATTCTCCAATCTTTTCTACCCCTATTTCATATATAATTCTTTAAGATTAATTGATTGATTAGATCCAGCTTTATACGCGATCAAAAGTTCATATGCGAGGTCCATATAAGGACCATGTAGATTTTAAGGGTTAATAATATTTTTCTCATAAATATAAACAGATTTAAATACTCTTTGTTATTTTTTTCCAATTCTCTGATGATGTCTGTTAAATTATTTTTCCATCGACTCGTATTATATATATAACTGCTAATTATTAGAAATAAATCTGCACGCGAAAATTTTCAAAAAATTTTAAATTGAAAGGAAGACAAACGGAACTTGATTGACAAATCTCTTTCCTTTTCTCCGGGGGTCGTCATTGGTTGTATCAGAGCTCGTTGGCTTTCAGACACGCGCGAGTCGCCACCCTTAATCCCGTATCCTTCCTGGGAGGCCCATCAATACGGCGCCGCCGGCGTGCCGGAGATCGTCTCGACGTTTCGCGTGCGCGCCGACCGTTGCAACCGGCTCTGGATTCTGGACACGGGGCTGACGGACATCCTGGGCAACCCCGAGCAGCAGGCGCCGCCTGCGTTGATCGTCTACGACCTGGCGACCGATCGTATGCTGCGCAAATACGTTATACCGTCCGACCAGAGGACCGCCGATTCCCTGTTCGCCAACATCGCCGTCGAAGATTACTCGTGCGAGGACTCGTACGGCTACCTGGGCGATCTGGGCGGCCCGGGTCTCGTCGTCTACTCCTGGAATCTTCGCAAGTCCTGGCTCGTCAAGCATCACTCTTTCCATCCGGATCCGATGGTCGGTGGAGTTCAAAAATGCACGCGTTTGTCTTTCGGGGTTTATTTCTTTTCGATCTGTTCAAAATACGTTGACGCGAAGCTAACGATTATGCATAAATAACTATTAATTTTGATAATCTTCAATTACGCTAGTCGCAGTAAATTTATTAGTTCTACATGTAATTCATTAATTAAGAATACTTATTGATATACAATGGGCAAAAGTCTTTGATAAATTGAGATAAACGCATTGTCTGAGCGAAGTTTCACAGCGAGCTCAAATGGTGTGTTGTCTTTCTCAGGGCGGAGATTTCAAGGTGTCGGGAATATCGTTCCAATGGAATGACGGCCTGTTCGGAATGGCTCTCGCGCCGACTGGTGATGGTTACAGCACCATGTACTATCATCCACTCTCCAGCGGCATGGAATTTTCCGTCAGTACAAGGTTATTGCGCGATCCTCAGCGTGCCAGTGCTGCGGGTATGTTTTTAAAAAATAACATCACACGCGTAAAATTAACAATAAACGTAAATCGTGTTTCTTTAATGTGGAAGTGACATAGTAAAAATTGTAATTATATAAAAAAAGGTTTACTAATATTAACGTATATAATCAAAATTAAAAGTAAAAGATAATTATGATGAATACATTGAACAAAAATTTATTATTTGCAAGAAAATAGATTTCTTTGAATTTAGTTTCCTTAATTCAAAGAAGTATTGGATAGATTTAAGAAAACATTGTTCTGAGTTTAAAGTATTTTCTCGAGCCTACGTAATACTTCTTTGAATTGTGGAAATTAAATTCACAGAAATTTATGTTCTAGCAAATAATTTTTTTGAGTGTACATATGTATGTAAGAGTTGTGAAATGAGGCTCTCAAATATTTTCTGTACAGTATCATATTATAAGACTGCAACTCATGTTATTAAAAGCCAGAACAATATTGACAGATAGACACGAGAGAACGTGTTCTTACATATAAAGAGGGAAGGAAAAGAGGGGAAATAAGGAAGCGTAAAGGAACATATGATGCTAATGAATGAGAAACGAATTCAAAACCGGAAGGTATTCAACAAATGAAAGTTGAGTAGAAAGGGATTCATCATTTTCTTCCATTTATTAGATGCTAACCACGATTTTAATTGGGAGAATGTTCAGATTTTAAACCAAGAACCTTCTTTCACACGGATAATATTAGGTTTTCCAGTCCTGAAATGAACAGTCTCCGAAATGATACATATCAAAGATCAAATCGCCGTATTAAACAAATAGAATGATGCCGAACTTCTGTCTGATGAGTACCTTCCGGTTTTGAATCTGTTGCCTACTCATTATTTAGGCCGGTATTCATATATAAGTACTATCCCGCTATAGTCATTTCATTGTAGCTATAGATGGAGTCTTAAGACTGATTTTGACCAGACTTAAAACGATCTTAAATATAAGATCAGACTAGGATTGCTGCCTTTAATATGATCTACGGGTTTGCGATGAATACTTAGAGCGAACTATGCCTATTTTTGAACTTTATTTCTTGTTATTAAATTACTTTTATTACACTGAACATTATCTAATAACAGAAGTTTGTAAATAACAAAACGTTTGTAAATTTTAATTTTAATATAATATTTTAACACAAACACCTTGTTGTGACTCTAAGCTCTTTATTTATTAGTAGATTTATCTTAAAGACATTAAAAAATTATTTATAATATATAAGATGATGTTCACGTGTTTAATGTGATGCTGGAGCCGTCTGTATACCCGACAAAATTACCATTTTCTATGTTATCGACTATATCTGTCCTTGTATAGACAAAGATATAGACAAGGATAGCACGCTACATTGCACGCACACATACGCACGATGCACATCGACATTATACTTTTATATTACGCTTCCAAATCTTGATTTGGAGGGTTTATCGATGTTTTTCTTGTTGTGCAATTCGGGGGAACTTGTTTTCGCGTTCGTACCAATGGTATATCTCTTATATGAAATACATCTTGTGACGAGCTGACAGCTCGCCGCAACTCGAGACGCCATATTGGGATAAAAGTAGGATAAGGAAATCTGTACTTCCGTAATTTTTTCTCGTTTTCTATATAAAATCGGAGTTCCCCCTGAGTCATTAATGTATGTACTGCAATTCTGGAGAAGGATTTTTAATTCTGTCAAATTAATACGACGCTACGTGCCGACAAAAAATGCCGGTAAAACAGACGGCTCCAGCATCCCCTTAAGATGCAGTCTATGATTATAAATATTTTTTCGTATTTGAAAAACACACTTACCTTGGTGGGATTTGAACTCGGGACTTCTGCATCGTGAGCCAACTGCCTTACGTGGTAGATAATTTGATGTAAACGTTATATATAGTCTACATATGTCATAACCAGCGCAAATATATAATTGTTCAAAAATCATCTTAAGAAACAAATTCAGTTTAAAAAGAGTAATAAAATTTTGAATTGGATATATGATATAATATTTCTTAATGTCGGGTGAATGTCAGAAACCAGTGCCGGCTCATTATGAAATTTTGTGTTCGTAAATATATTTATGTAACACGTACATGGAAAGTGGCCCATTACGCACGCTACGCGTGCGTGATAGACCACTTTCCACGCACTTGCAACATAAAATAGGGTGTGCAAGCCGTGCGTAAAGATGAAAATTCCCGGGTGCGGTGACCGCACTCGCTTTCGGCTCGTGCGTCAACTCCGCACCTGTGAATTTTCATCTTACAGCACTTGTTACACAAATAACTATTATGAAAAAAGTATATTTATAAAGTTAAAACATTCTTATCAAATCCTTACAAGGACCTCACTAGACAAAAATAAGGAAATCTTTTGTTAATGAAACTTTAGAAATAATGCAGAAACATAAATTGCTGATGCACCGACTAGGGCTAAAATGTGTCAATCGACATGGCAATTGCATACAAAATCTTATTCAATACAAGTTTATTCCACTTGCAGTATACAAAGTATAATTGCAGCATCAAATTATAATTCACTATTGATTATCCATTAAAAGCTATGACATTGCCATATAAACGCAGTATAATAATACTTTCATTGATTAATTATAATCTTTAATAGAAATTACGTAGATGTAGATTTATCCACAAACTATCCACATGGATGCAACGTTTTTTTTTCATCACTAATCGAAGTCTTTTATCCTCGAAATGTCGATAAAAATTCCCTGTACATATCTCTTAATAGATATATATCTACAGAGAATCTACATTGATATTTTGATGATAAAAGACTTCGATGTAGTGATGAAAAAAGAATGTTGCATCTATGTGGATAGTTTGTGGATAAATCTGCATCCACGTAGTCCACGTAAATTACGTGGATTTGACGTGAATGTGACGTGACTGTTTTTATCGGGGTCAACTTAAAGAATTTTAAGGAATAGATCGCTTAAAGTAAAGAAAAATGAAATATAGCCTGGGATTTCACACGTACGTCATCCGAAGGACGAATGTTTTACGGGAGGTGTTTGTCAAAGTCTCATTTCACGCGTTTGTCACAGAAACGTCCCACGAATTCCAAACGCTGGGCTCACGTGGACCCAACGGCCAGAGCAGCGTCAGCTTCCTGGATCCGAAAACCGGAATTCTCTTTTACGCGCTTACGAATCTAAACGCCATCGCCTGTTGGAGACCGCAGAATAAATTCACCGTGCAGCAGCAGGGCTACGTTTACCAGGATAACGTCACCATGATTTTTCCCAACGATCTTAAGGTAAACCGCGAATCTATCAAAGCTTGACGCCCATTACTCAATCAATAATAAATTATTGCATTAATTATAATTACTTATTATTATATACCGCAAGCTTTAATAGATTATATGCCATCACACATTATGAGTTGCCAAAGCAATCACGATAGGAAAATTTTACGTTCATAATCTAGTTATAACTGAAAATAATTATCCGTTATATTTTTATATAAAAAAAAAAAATAAAAAAAAAAAAAAAAAAAAAAAAAAGAAAAAAAAAAGTGTGATTAATTAGTTCAACAATAATTTGGCAAACGTAATTCTTATGTTCTCCGTATTTTTATTATTCGTGAAATTACGAATTAAATAAACCGTCTTTGATACTTTAATTTTATTAATATGATTTCTTTCTCTATGTTTTTTGTTTTATTATTAATTTCTGATTGTCATATCGCAATCTCGTTTTTACCTGGACAGGTCGATCGAAATGGCAACTTGTGGATCCTCTCCGACAGACTGCCCGTCTTCATGTACTCGCAGTTGGACCTGCACGATTATAACTTTAGGATACTTATGGGGTCGACCCAGGAACTCATCATGGGTACGGTTTGCGGATCGACATCGTTTACACCTTACTCCACGACGTCGATTTACGATCACAGAGATCACATAGATCACATGGATCACAATAATCACATTGATCACAGAGATCACACGATGAGCTTGACGCCCAGGATCGGAAACTCTGCCGGTTTTGTAAAGACAGAGATCGCGACCATGATGTTATTGATATGCCTGAGCAAAGCTCTTGTTTGAAGAGCGACTACGAAAAATTTGGGAACGAGAATTAAAATAATAGAATTAGAGATAAGATAAAAGTAAAATTAAGAGCAAATGTAGATAGAGATAGAAAGGACGAGAGGATAAGGGAGAAGAAGAAAGATATGGAATATTCATTATATTAATATTATTTTTTTTATAAAATGATTTCCGTAATTTAGAATAACCTTCAATGAAGTGAAGTAACTGAATTGACCAAACAAAGTTTTATCGATAATGTATAGAACTATCACTTATCGTAAAAATATGGAAAACTGATATTTATTTAACTGCGGTTACAAAATTAGAGCTATCATTCCTATTATCGGAAACTTATTTATCATCCAATTGCTTCACTTGAGCCTATCTTTTAAAAGTCCGAAAAATGTAGCGTATTAGTAATTATTCTAATTATATAATAATTTGATTACTACAAATATATATGTATTTTTAGAAGAGTTCAGATTGCAGTAAAAAGAAAAACACAAAGGATTGGCACAAATTGTTTAGATCGCGATCTAGTGAATAATGGACCCATATTAATTGGATAGCTTTCACGTGCACAGTACAAGCGTTTTCTGATTAGACGTTCGTTTTCTCGTTTGTTTATCTCTCGAGGAATCGTTTCTCTCCTTCGTCGAGTATACTATTGTTATTTACTCACGCTAAAACTGCCATTGTATTTACGTGTCAGATGTAATATAATATATACCATGAGAAAAAAGAAGTATCTCCAATCCAGTGATGATTTCTTTATCTTTCTTTTTTTTAACGAAATGCTCTGTACAGTCTAATCTTAAATTTATTATATCACTCTTTGTCACATTTTGATTACTAACAGAGAACGGTCGGAAGTGTCTAGCACTTCTTTAAGCTTGTCGCAAATGTC